ATCCAAAAGATATTCGGATGCCATTTTACTAATCTCACGAAAAAATGTTAGGCCGAAGTAAAAAAAACAGTTTATATTATTTATCTATTATTTTTATTGTTATTACACTTGAGGAATCAATTTATGACGATTGTAAAATAGTCATTCAAGCGATTATATATTCACGAAACAGATAATTAAATGACTTTGTGCGTTGCGATTTTTCTCAATAACATAACGAACGACTGTGGGCGTTTCATAATAGAACGGCAAGAGAAGATAATCTATTTCTGATCGCCAAGCTGACGTTTACTTATTGTCAAGTGTAACGCGCTAAAAACGATTCTGGGAGCTTAATATGTATTCGATGACATACCGTTAAGTGTTTTGATAACTGCTGGCAATTAAAAGAGGAAATCATAATAGTTTCTCACGGGCAAGTAATTAGCGAACTGTAAATTTAAATTGGGCTGTAAACATGACACTCGTATAATTAAAATCCTAGTGATTACAGGTCAGCCGAAAACAAGTTTACAATCACTACCACCGACGTACTAGAGATTTGACTTCTGTTGAAAGACTAAGTTATTAATCTGAGTAACGATTTTCTATAGAGAATTTCTAATAAGAATTAATTTACCAAAGTTAGTTGTAATAAAACTGAATGTTTCTATTTGTAGGGCATGCTTAAATAAAGAAACATTAGAGGTTAAGATGAGTTTTATTTCACTTATTGTCCCGTTCAATAAAACGTTACGACTTCTTAACTACTCGAATAAATGTGATTTTTTATGAGCATTTTACGACTTTTGAATGATTTCACACTAAACATTCGGATACAATTACATACTAGAATTGTTCATGATTAAAAATATTTTTTACTAATTGTGACTTCTGGTATATAAACACTCGAACGTCACTGAAAATATTCGATTAATTTATTAATGTGTATAGAAATAACATCATTATTATTAACAACAACTTATATGGGTGAAGTAGTAATCCAATTACACGAATCGGTAATCTGTTAATCTGGTGTAACGACAGTCGTGTAAGTTACTACTATCTGAGATAGTCACTACGGAAGTGCTATACATATTCATATTTATAATTATATTAAACAGTTACATTATAAATCACCTCAAGTTAGATGTTTATTGGATAGAATAAGAAACACAAATTTGTGAAACACAATTCAAACTTTTTAACGATAACTACTAGATGACGTCAGAGATTTTCATAGAAAATTCTTTTCTTTTCTAATGTAAAACCGATCGTTAGAAAATGTTTCAAGAAACCCAAATCGCAAATAGTTTTTAAAGCGTAGCAACTGAAATATTGTATTTAAATTATTTTTATACTGCATTTATGTGGTTACTAAACATTCTATATAGTTTTTTACTATTTGACAATTTTAGTACTGAAAAAGTTTTTATTTTTTAAAACGGTTTGTTTTTGTACAATGTTTGTGTTTGGCTTGTGCTATAAACAGCTATTTATTCAATTTTAGAACTTTAGCTTTTAAGTAGTTAAGACATTAACATTGACACTACAATAAAACCCGAAACTAGGGACATTATAATCGGTAAGTTAATTTTTTTAACGTTGACCCGTTCTGGATAACAGCATAAATTACAAGAGACGTTCATGCCGGAGGACTACTTGACGTCTGTTGATGTTGATCTTGTCGCCGGCCACCTATATAAATAATAATTTCGGATTCGTTGTGTCTATCTCGTAGTTCTTCAAGTCTTATAAAATATGATGTGACTCGTCCGCGGTAACCCTCAAGATATAACATCTCTTGCTCCCATCTCGGCTCATTGTCGCATCTTTCGCTCCTATCTCAGCGCATCGTCGCATATTTGTATTTCTAAAGTGTTTGTATAATGTTATTATTGTGCCAAGCTGAATAGAAGACAATTGTACCTTTTCAGAAAACTAGACGTGTTTCTAATTGAACAACGTTTTGCTTCATAAATATTAACACGGTTATTGGTCTTTGCTCACGCCGAGTATCGACTAACCAGTATGTTACTAGCGTGTAAGCACTCGGAGATTGACCGCGTACATGGTTAATTAATTGATATCCCACCGGCAATGTTGTGACACACGCTCTCGTACATACACTCAGTCATTACAATTGACCACAGGAAAGAAAAAATTTCATAATACGTATATGCGCGTTGGTTAATAAATTAATTACTAGTAATTTATTAACGGCGACTTGACGCTTCTCAAAAATGGGTCCCAGAAACCCCAATCGATTATTATGTAAGTCCATTGTACAGAGACTACGGCATCACTTTTACTCTTAAGCCGACGCCATCGTGTGATCATATTTCCACTGGGTCACATCTGACGTGTATATATACACACCACAGAAGAGGCAGATGAATGGACGTTTACCGACGCCGCCACCCCTCCGTGCTATTGTAATTTACACCGGTCATCGGCCGGGAGTACAGTTTTTGTTTTCATCGCAAACCCCCGCCCACGCATACGTTGTACCCAACGTCTAATCTTAATGTCATCTACCAGAGTGCCATAACTCTAGTCTGAGTATTTCATATATTTTTGATAATGTTTATTTTAATTATAATTTTATTCATGGCGACTACCGACTGAATTAATAATGTAACAGTCATATTTAAAATCGTGCACCACAACCTACTAAAAATTTTAGTGTTTTCTAGTTTGGGCTTGTCCGCTGATTTTTATTTTTTCTATTAACATAACTATAAAATTGTCTATAGTTGAGTCACTCGATGTATGAATAACTTAATTTTGGCACTGTGACATCAATGCCAATTTTCTTATGCAGAATATTGATGGTTCACGTTATTTAAATGCAACTGACAGTTCGAGTAGGATGTGGGACTAGTGTCAATGGGATTTTTTTCGTGACTTATGCTATTGTTAAACTTTAAAATGTTATTCTGCACGTGTTTTGATGAATGTAAAATGCTGGAAAGTTCGGTAGTTGTGAATCATACGTATCGTGATGAAAACTACTTATTTTGAACCTTGAAAATCGATTAGTACCTATACAGGGTGTTCAGTAAGTCAGGAAACGGGTTTCTATTGTTCTCATTGTTTGTAACACCCTGTATATTTTATAGTGTCATTTTATAATTCAATCAGATATGTAGTAAAAATTGCCTGAAACAATATCTCCTATTTGTAGACGCTTATAGACTTTTGTATCCCTATCAAATATAAACAAAACAGTTTCCATAAATACCCGACCCTTGGAGTAATTTAGGTAATCCAAAAGGTAATGGGTTGGAAATACGTTTACAGTGAGATATTTGATGAGCTTCTTTGTACATAGACATATAAAGTAACATGCCATGTAGTCTCATTGTCTACGGCTTGTGTTCTTCAATTGAATGACTTTTGAGCTTAATTAAAAATCCCCATTTAACTGGTGGTTATACTTGGTGATATTGCTTTTTATAAACAATAAAGGCAACATGGTTACCAAGGGATGAACAGGATTAGTTTTAGGTAGTTCATACAAAGCAAATTGAGTCACTATTATAAAAATCCTGTTTAATTTATTTATTAAGCGATCACCACTTGAAAACAATACAAATTTATTTTAACTTAATTAAATGATAAAATCTAACGCCGACTTTTATGTTAAAACGTTTATTTTATTATTTGGACGTCCTAATTTCTAAGCTTTAGTCCAATCCATTATAAAAGTACCATAAACATATTTCGAAATAAATTTCTAACGATGTGGACATATCCGTTTCTTTTCTCTTGTGTAGTTATTTCAACATACTGTGGATATTTTTGTGTGATCAACTTAAGATGAAAAACTATTTTCCTACTATATTAATATTTTATAACATATTCATATTTTAATAAAATTCTTATCCCTAATAATTCTAACAGTTTGTGCATTCATCCAAAGTTATGACTAGACATTTGTCTAAGTCTGAATAGAAATGATTATACAAATAAAAAGTTGGGAAATAAACGTGTAGGCTATTGTATTTGATTCGGAAACTTGCTCTTATAATTTGTCGACAGCGGCTTTCCTAGTGCCTTATTAAATCCTGCGGTTTATGAAGACATCATTTGTTATGTGTCACCGATCGCGCGTTTACGTTAAAGGGTTAAAAGTTTCAACTATTTTCCCGGTTAACGCAATGCGTGCGGTTTAGTTTCACTTAGATCATCTATATAATACTAGTATTTATTTTACTCAAAATAATATTCGTCATGGTGATAAGCCCCCAGGTGCAATAAGTCAACAGCCATAGTAAAGCACAGATTAATAAAAAATAGATATCTGACGGAGAATAATATGGTTGTAATGCAGTTGAAATAACGCAGAGATGTAACACAAAACGATAACTCTATTAAAATTTCTAAAGCCCACGTGACAACGGGACAATACATTTGTATTAAGATAAGAATTAGTATTTATTATACTTCCCTTAAAATTCAAATTGTGTTAATGCATATACCATTCGGGATTCACATAATATAGTAAGTTTTTCCCAACGAACCGGTTACCGGTCACGAAACCGTATGGTACACTTACATAGGTGCATGTTGAAAATGCGTTGAATTATTCTAATCGACTTCTAACAGGCGCCTCTTTTCCAAACACTCTCTTACAATTAACTTGCTTGACTCGGACGACCGCCCCTAAAACTGTGTGAACCGATATTATTTAGATCTCAATAACAAACATAGAAATGCTCTGTAAATCCTTCATAGCTTGCATGGGAAACGTTTTAATCATTTTAGAATACTTTTGTTGTAGACTGATTCTAGTTGATGTTTTACGGTTATGTATTCTGATTAGAAATGTATCAAATATTTATTTAATTAAAAAAGTTGATTGAATTTCTTGAAACTGTTTTAATTATTGGCTCATTCACTGCCTGTTTTTTCTTATATGATACCAGATACTCGGTTGCTAGGTGTATGATATTGTATTTATTTATTTATTATCAACAGTATTTATTTTTTATTGACGTTGTATTTATATTTCACAGTTATCCTTCAAAGAGCTTCTGTTAACACCGGCCAATTGAAGATCCAAGGAGTGGCCACGTGCATGTACTTGTGTATGGATGCTTGCGGTTTACTTTACGGCTCGGTAAGAGTACTTACATGTTTGATTTTTTTACTTATTAAAATAATATTAGAGCTTTTGAATTTTCATAATAATATATATGTGCAATGATAAATATGTACACATTGTGCATGTAATGTAGAAATTGTGTTACAAAATTTTTACTAAAAACTACTTGATTCGAATCTCTCTGAATAGTTAGTATTTCTCTAATATTTTAAAATAATGTAGGTCAATTTGATAAAAAAAAAAAATTTAATTATGCATTTTAACTTCACTAATGGTTGATAATTTTACAAAAATTATTATTTCAACTTAGTTTACACAAATAATTCGTTATTTCGTTTGTGATTTTGAACTGTCCAATACATAATATATTTCTATTAGTTCCAATGACTATTATAATAAAATAAAAAATGTTGCAGTTATAATCTTATAATAGATCATAAAAAGAGGAAATTTTAATATTATTTTTTTAAAGTATTATCGCTGGTTAAGTTTTAGAGCAAGCTGGAGTTCATAGCTTTTTGATAATTTTATCTACTCATCTGTATAATGTTAAAAGTTTCTTTTTAAAATAACTTCGGAAAAACATTTTATAATCCAAAGAAGTGCAGAATTGAGCTTAAATTTAATCATTATTTACTAGAAAAAATTTAACTTTGTAAATTAGCCCAAAATGTTTGAACTAAATTTTTAAGGAAAACTTTGAAAATATTTATGTTCTCTCAGTGTTTTTTATGAATTGAAAATTACAAAAATATGACCACCTACCGTAATTATTTATTTTTAATTTTCTATAATATTGAAATTATTAACAACTGTATAATTATCTATTAATAACGGCATAATGTCATGCTAGGTTTTTTTACCGGCTTAATTAAAACAATCGGTGGTTAGAGGACGTTATAGGTGGATATCCGTTAATCCGATACTCTAGCACTTATCACGCTGTGTTGTTATGCGGTACAGATAAACAAGATGGACAATGTTTAAGTGTGTGTGATCTGTTGCTCTTAAATCATTGCGTTCTATGAAGATCAATACGTTTTACCAAGACCATGTTATTTTTACTCATTTAAAAGGATTAGACATAGGAAGTCACGGGTATATTTTAGGCTTCAGGCTAGCCTATAATGTTGAACTAGTTGTGGCCTTCGCTAGCTGATTTTTAATGAAATATTCAGTTTTCAAAATAGAATTCAACTGAACAATTTAAAGAAGTTCTCGTGGCTAAATCTCTATAAATGTAACTATAGTTATCTATTAATGAATGTCATTTGTCACGATCATGGCGATGATAGCTTTGATTACAATGATAAGTTGATAAATCTTCATAGGAGCCGGCCAGAATTGTTAAACCGAGAATTGTTATAATTAGTTCGGCCGTTGAACTCGGTCATACGAATCGCCTATTTCTGTCATCTCGGTTTCACTAAACTCTCTTGGAGACATTTTATTCGCAATGACTGCTAAATTGTTCTCTTATTGTCGCGAACGCATTAACGTCATTGGACTTTATCGGATTGGTCGTATTATGTCTAGAGATAATATCTTAAAATCTGCCAAATAGACATTGTTTGACTTCAAAACGGGTTGATATAAATATCAAACATAATACACAAAATGTGGTACAAACTACACGTGCTAATTTAAAACATTGCCTCATCAGTTTTTTTTTTTTTTTTTTTTGGGGGTATTTTT